TTAAGTTTTCGCCCAGTTGGAAAATTGATTGAGCCACGCGTTCTGTTCTCCCTCTTTTTTTTTAACAGGTGATATTTTCGGTCTTTCTATAGAAGAAACAAATAATTCATTTCTTCCCCATACCGCAGGTTTCCTTAACTTTGATTGATGTCTCAACAAAAGAAGGCCGAGGCAAGTGCAAATGAAAATTCACTTGGCGGTAGATACGAATTAAGCAAATAAACTGTCTCAGTTTGACGCTGATGTATGAATGGGTTATTGTTTTAAGGTTCTGCCGGTGATTTGTGGGCCCCAAGTGTATAAACACTGCCTACCAAGTGGGTGGTGGCAGTGATCAATTGGCCTGGGTTCATTCAAACACAATTGCAATCGGATGTATTAACCAATTCTTTTAGATAATATATCATTGTTTATTTTTAGCGGTTTCCGTTTGAAAGTTAATATATTTTATTAATAAAAAAAAAGTTCCCATTTTCTTCTGTCAGTTCCTAGGCCACATAGAAAATATCTTTCAATTTCAATTGGCTGCCATCGTCAGAAAAGATCGCAATGGGTGTTCCACAATTTCGATGGCGTTAATTGGCCCAAAAACCTAAGTCCATATCCACATATCCCCTGCGTGCATCCAATATTTTCCGGCTAATGATTTCTGATCAGATTCCTCTTAGTTTCGGGTATTTATTTATTTTCACTCGCTTGCGAAAAAAAACAAACATGCAACAAACAAGCATTAAGTTTTTTGGTTAGTTTCAAGTTTTATGCGCTTTTAATGGGCCCTGGAGTAGGCTCCCTTGTGGGGCTGTAAAATAATTTAAGAGGCGGCCATAAATACCAGAAGCATTGCTCATAAATCTTTCACTGATTTCGCTGGCTGGCGGTTCAATTGGATGCTTGGGCATTTTATTTTCAATATTTGTTTTGATTTGAAGAGGCTCTGCTGCGCATCCAACATACATACATGCCTAGAAGTATGTACATGCCACACTCTACTAGCAACAAAATGGGGCAAATGGGTATTCGCCCCCTCACAAATCAAAACATCTGTCAGTCAACGCTCGCAGCCTGACAACAATGTTGAGATACAAATTATCTAAATTGTATCTGCGCTAGCAAATGCATCTTGTGGATTTGTTTGTTTGTTTGCCTTCCACTCGGATTTGCTTGGATTTCCCTTTCCCATTTTCCATTTCACTGTTATATAGTATTTTTTTGGTGTTGTTTTCTTGATTGGCCCAGAGAGTGGAGAGCGTTGAGTTTTCCAATTCCCCGTCGCGTGGCTTTTCCTCTTCCAGCCATTTCTTGATCTCCCACAATAACTCTGTGTGGATGTGGCACTTCAAGCCGGAGCGGGCACCGTGGTGAGAGATATCAATTTAAACATTAAACTGACAGATTTATCAGGTATTAGACGATACATGCGTCAACGCTGAGCCATCGCGCTCTCGGCCTGGTACTCTGGGTGCCGAGCGGGGCCCCCACAGGCATTTGAAGAATGTGTAAAAGCCAAGTTGGCATTGAATGGCCTCAAGAGTCACACTGCTTAATGGTGTTCTGTAATGGGTCAGGGTGTGAACAAAATGTAAGCGAATCAGCTTCATCGCTAACAAATTAATTGCTCACCAATGAGATGAAATTCAAACTATTGCTAATGGTGTAAGTATATCAATTAGTAGTATCAATTTCTGCTGGTTTCTATTTATTCAAATGTTTGGCAACATTGCAGCTCTATCAATCACTGAGAACTGCGCTAAATGTGCCATTGACGCAGTGCCCGGGGGCTTTTTAGTGGGCTATAACCCGTTAACCATAGGTGGATCAAGTGGTGCGTCGACCCACTTTAGGTGGCTATCTGAATCTGAGCGCCCAGTCGGCAATCGTCATCATCCATCAATCAAAAACCTCTGGCGGACGTCCAAATGACTGACTGACTGACTAACTGGCTGGTTTGTTTCTTTCTTTTTCCACATTGCGTGTTCTCGGATGACGCAGCGCACTTGCTCAGCTTACAGAGCTCCCCATCCCCCTCCTGTTTTTTCGCCCTGAAAGCTTGCGCCTTAATCAGTCGTAGGCCCCGACATTTGGCCAACTGACGACCGATCGATCAATCAGCCATCCATCAGTTCAAACATCGCAGTACGACAAAGAGAGAGTCGAGTTCCTACTGGCGTTTTCTACTTGATTGATAGCAGTTCAACGCAAAATTTACTTAACCGCATTTATATCGATTTTTTTTCTACCTTTTTTTTCATTTTTATTTTTGAATTTGTTTCACAGATAAAGGGTTATGGCACCTGCAATTTTTAGGGGTCACATCAATATTAATTAATGTTTACTTCTTGATTGATAGTTAATTTTCAATTCACTTTAACGCCATTTATTGCACATTAGAGCTAATTAAAAACTGACCCACGCAATAACAAATCGATATTACATTATTCGACTCATCAAACTAATTAGGGGATATGAGGTAATGTCAAAGGAATACTCTTTTGTTAGAGTTCAGTCCAAAATGGGTCTACAAACGTGTGGTCGGCTGCTCTACTGGACGGGCTTTCTTTTACAAATAACATCCTATAGATATAGTGAAAAAAAGAAACGATATGTTCAGCATTCATATTTTTTGTATAATCTAGTTCTGGGATTTTTAAAAATTGGTCTCTTGTGGTACGACATTCCTGTTGGATTTGTAGTGTTGGTCACCTTTATGAGGTGGATATCAATTCCATCTACCGTGGGCATTGCTCTAACCGGGGAGTTTGTTAAATGGCTAAGTCGCCTTTGTGTTTTGATAATTCTTATTTCCTGGACCCACATACGGTACTATCAGCGTAAAATAATGAAGGCCTTAAACAAGATATTGGATATATCAAATCAGCTAGAAAACTGTTACTATTCAGAGGAAAGTTCCCAGAATAATATATGGATTGTTGGAATCCTAATTTTTGTGGCACTTCTCCGCCTAACCATTGATATCGTGAAGAAGCTAAAGCCTTTTGTATATCCAGTCTCCATAGTATATTACAACAGTCTCTTCAACATTATTTACTTGGCAATGGCTTTATACCAAATGAAACTCATTGAATGGAGAAGGGATATGGCCAGGTTTATAACTGAATTTATCAAAGACGAGGGCTGGCAATCCAGAACGCAAATGGAGCTACTGATGAGTTGCCTGAAAACCAATACCTCAATCATGGAACTTCAAAAAAGTTGTCAAGAAATTGGGACTACTTTTGCTTATATAATAGCTTCCCTGGTTTTAAACTTTATTAACCCTGTGGATCTATTTATGCCTCTGCACATCATCAGTATTTTAATATTGTCTTATCTAACTGATCAGAATGATATGTTTTATGGAGAATTTCTGAATAAATTAAATATTGTGAACCTGCATCTTAACGAGGATAACAAAATTAAATCAAAGGAATATCCTATGATGGTAAGTTAACAAAAAACATATATTTTTTATGTCTTAGCTTAATATTTTATTTTCAGATCTACACAACTGACTTTAGTCGACACTTTGACAGACTTCTTCTGAAAATAAATCGTCGTTATTCTTTTGTAATAATTAAAAAATATGTCATAAGTACTTTTATATATTTTTTCCTTCTAAAAGCCACACCTTTCGACAGTAATGTGCGACAATTTAGTTTTCAATAATTTAGGTTTTACTGAAACGTATATAATACTGTGTCTTTTTGAATACTATTTGCCGCCTTCCAATGTCGCGTTAAATTTAATGATTCAGAAAATGTTGAATAAATGTCTGAAACGTACTTTGGGGGCGATGAGAATAATTTCACATGTTGCAGACATAAAATAAAATTTTATTTTATTCATTTCTCATTTCGGTGGCCCGTTCTTCGTCCCTTACTTGAGATGCAAGAGGAACAATTTATGAAAATTTAGAGAAAACAAAAGCTAAACACACGCACAGCACACACCACACCACCTGACTGATGGAATGAATAAATGAGCATTCACACACAGAGCAAAAAACATAACTTTAAATTTGTATTACCACCCAGAGCCCAATGAGGGAGCGGCAACAAAAGAAACCTGAATATTTTCCACTTTTGCCAACTCCCCAACGTTAGCCCCACACCATCCGGGCTCAGACTTGGGCCACCACCCACCCACTCACAACTCTCATTCGCTCTCTAAATGAAATGCTCAAGTGTGCATGGAATTTTGATTTTTGGCAAATACGCCCATACACCCATCCCCACCCACACACACCACCCCCACAAAAAGGAATTTCCTTTCGTTTTTTTTTTACCAATTCCGTTCGTCATGTCGTTCGCTTGCAAATCAATTTAATGTCAGTCATTTTGCTGCTAAGTGGGAACTTTTTTGAAATTTCATCAAAAATCCGTTGGCTTTGCCATTCTACCCCCCCAGAACTTGGGCAGGCCACAGTTTTCCGCTTTTCTTGAAACATATGCTGCTCGGGGGAATTGGCTGCACTAAGGTACTTTTCCAGCGACGAGAAGACGCTTTTCGCATCTAAGCGAAACACATTTGAATGTAAATTTCCTCAGACGGCGTTGCATGTCCATGAATTCTATCCACCCTCCTCCAACTGGAGGCTCCACCAGGACCTTTCTATGTGCCCCGGGCACAAGCAACAACACCAACAACAAAGGGAAAAAAAAAACAAATATTGTATTAAAATGCTGGAAAGCAGCTAAAACGCATAATAGTAAAATTTTATGTTATTGCCAGTGTGAGGAAAACACGTCAGGCAGTTAGTCAAATAACGCAGCAAAGAAATGTTGCCGGGAAATGTGAAAGAAAAGCGCACACCGAAGGACAATGAAAATTTAGATGACGACAGACAGGAGCAGACAGAACCAAAAGCGCTGAGAGTTGGCCTTCTAAATATTTATTTTTATAAATATTCTTTTACAAATATAGTATCTTATATATGTGATATATTCCTTGAGAATTTTGACTAAAAATAAACACCCAAAATCCTAACCTAAGTGGGCTTCGAAAACACAGGCAATTTTCACACTAATATTCCTCCCATATATCCAGTATTCATTGAACTCAAAACCATGTCGGAAGCCGATAATGAGGACGTTGGGCCCAGTCCTCCCAAGAGGCCTCGGCTGGCAACAGATGAGCCAGATCTTGGCGAGCGACTCAATCTATTGATGCTATGCACCGTCTGCCACGATGTGCCCCACCCGGACAAGAGCTACCAGTGCAGCGTGGGCCACATCCTGTGCAACGATTGTGTTAGCCACATTCTGGCGGATGCCATCATAATCTACGCGGAGGCCCAGTGTCCAATCTGCCGTGTCCGGTTGTCCTGGAGTGAGCTGAGTCAGAACGCCGTCATCCGTCAGGCTATGTGGGAATTATCAAAAAACTGTCCCCAATGTAGCCAGATGGTGCCGCTCAAGGAACTGGATCGTCACATTGAAAACAAATGCCAGCAACGAAAGGTGAGCTGTAAGTATCGTTGCCTGGGCTGCGACTGGATGGGCGTCTACGAGATGAGTCCTACCCACGAGGCCGAATGCCTATTTCCAAAAATGAAAGGCGAGGAAATACTGAAAGCTCTCCAGAAGGAAGATTTTATTCAATGGAAGCGCCAACAACAAGCGATCTTATTTCACCAGGAACTTAGCCAAAGACGCATCTTTTACAGAAATTTGGAGCTCTATTGGAAAAACGATTGGGGTGTGATGTACCAGGAACGATTTCTGGATTCTCAAGTTGGTCACCTAATTAATACGGCACTAAACAATTGTACTAATTATTTCCTTTAACCAGAGCTTCGAAGCCTATGGAAATCAATGGGTCCTACGAGTGAAAATATTTCTTTCGTTGGACAACATTCCAGTGAGAGTAAAAACCACCCTGTTTGCGCAAGTACCTCCACCAGAAGACATCACTGTACGATATCTTGTGTTGATGCCCAACCGACACGGAAATGACACGCAAAGGCAGGACATTAAAGCAAATCTGATTGAATGTCAGGTCAATACTGCACGTACTATCGAGGTATACGAGAATCTACCAATGGAGAGCCCAATGGCCCTTTACCGTCTTCTAGCAATGCAAAGGATTGTCGTTCGCCTATGGATGTTTATGCCCTAGTTTAACTGTCATTGTATTGCATTCATTCAATTATTATATTTTTTTCCAGAACTAAAAATAAAGGTATAAACTCAATACTATAAAGTGTACAAAATTTTGCTCTTTTGCTTTTGTAATATGCTTGTCCATTTTCGTGATGGATCCTTTCAAAATGGGGTGTTTCCCTATAGGACCCACAGTGATGGCTATATCTTCCGCAATTATCATCCGATTCTTAAGCGGAGTACCTTAAACAATTTGTAGATCGATTCGCCACCATTCTGCATCAAAATCCTGAGACAAAATATTTTTTTGATTTTTTGTCCATTTTAGTGATGGGATCCCTTCGAAATGGGGCGTTTCCCTATAGGACCTACAGTGATGGCTATATCTTCCGCAATTCTCATCCGATTCTTAAGCGGAGCACCTTAATCGATTTGTAGAGCGATTTGCCACCATTCTGCATCAAAATCCTGAGACAAAATATTTTTTAGATTTTTGGTCCATTTTTCGTGATGGGATCTCTTGAAAATGGGCTTTTCCCCTATATGCCCCACGGTGATGGCTACATCTTCCCCAATTCTCATCCGATTCTCAAGCGGAGTACCTTAAACGATTTCTAGATCGACTCCCCACCATTCTGCATCAAAATCCTGAGACAAAATATTTTTTAGAGTTTTTGTCCATTTTTCGTGATGGGATCCCTTGAAAATGGGCTTTTCCCCTATAGGGCCCACGGTGATGGCTATATCTTCCTCAATTCTCATCCGATTCTCAAGCGGAGTACCTTAAACGATTTCTAGACCGATTCTACACCATTCCGCATCAAAATCCTGAGACAAAATATTTTTTAGATTTTTTGTCCATTTTTCGTGATGGGATCCCTTGAAAATGGGGTTTTCCCCTATAGGGCCCACGGTGATGGCTATATCGTCTCCATTTCTCATCCGATTCTCAAGCGGAGCACCTTAATCGATTTGTAGATCGATTTGCCACCATTCTGCACCAAAACCTTGAGACGAAATATTTTTTCGATTTTTTGTCCATTTTTCGTGATGGGATCTCTTGAAAATGGGCTTTTCCCCTATATGCCCCACGGTGATGGCTACATCTTCCCCAATTCTCATCCGATTCTCAAGCGGAATACCTTAAACGATTTCTAGATCGACTCCCCACCATTCTGCATCAAAATCCTGAGACAAAATATTTTTTAGAGTTTTTGTCCATTTTTCGTGATGGGATCCCTTGAAAATGGGCTTTTCCCCTATAGGGCCCACGGTGATGGCTATATCTTCCTCAATTCTCATCCGATTCTCAAGCGGAGTACCTTAAACGATTTCTAGACCGATTCTCCACCATTCCGCATCAAAATCCTGAGACAAAATATTTTTTAGATTTTTTGTCCATTTTTCGTGATGGGATCCCTTGAAAATGGGGTTTTCCCCTATAGGGCCCACGGTGATGGCTATATCGTCTCCATTTCTCATCCGATTCTCAAGCGGAGCACCTTAATCGATTTGTAGATCGATTTGCCACCATTCTGCATCAAAATCCTGAGACAAAATATTTTTTAGATTTTTGGTCCATTTTTCGTGATGGGATCTCTTGAAAATGGGCTTTTCCCCTATATGCCCCACGGTGATGGCTACATCTTCCCCAATTCTCATCCGATTCTCAAGCGGAATACCTTAAACGATTTCTAGATCGATTCCCCACCATTCTGCATCAAAATCCTGAGACAAAATATTTTTTAGATTTTTTGTCCATTTTTCGTGATGGGATCCCTTGAAAATGGGGTTTTCCCCTATAGGGCCCACGGTGATGGCTATATCGTCTCCATTTCTCATCCGATTCTCAAGCGGAGCACCTTAATCGATTTGTAGATCGATTTGCCACCATTCTGCATCAAAATCCTGAGACAAAATATTTTTTAGATTTTTGGTCCATTTTTCGTGATGGGATCTCTTGAAAATGGGCTTTTCCCCTATATGCCCCACGGTGATGGCTACATCTTCCCCAATTCTCATCCGATTCTCAAGCGGAATACCTTAAACGATTTCTAGATCGATTCCCCACCATTCTGCATCAAAATCCTGAGACAAAATATTTTTTAGAGTTTTTGTCCATTTTTCGTGATGGGATCCCTTGAAAATCGGCTTTTCCCCTATAGGGCCCACGGTGATGGCTATATCTTCCTCAATTCTCATCCGATTCTCAAGCGGAGTACCTTAAACGATTTCTAGATCGATTCTCCACCATTCTGAATACCTTAAACGATTTCTAGATCGACTCCCCACCATTCTGCATCAAAATCCTGAGACAAAATATTTTTTAGAGTTTTTGTCCATTTTTCGTGATGATCCCGTGAGGATCCCTTGAAAATGGGCTTTTCCCCTATAGGGCCCACGGTGATGGCTATATCTTCCTCAATTCTCATCCGATTCTCAAGCGGAGTACCTTAAACGATTTCTAGACCGATTCTCCACCATTCCGCATCAAAATCCTGAGACAAAATATTTTTTAGATTTTTTGTCCATTTTTCGTGATGGGATCCCTTGAAAATGGGGTTTTCCCCTATAGGGCCCACGGTGATGGCTATATCTTCTCCATTTCTCATCCGATTCTCAAGCGGAGTACCTTAAACGATTTCTAAATCGATTTGCCACCATTCTGCACCAAAACCTTGAGACGAAATGTTTTTTCGATTTTTTGTCCATTTTTCCTGATGGGATCCCTTGAAAATGGGGTTTTCCCCTATAGGGCCCACGGTGATGGCTACATCTTCCCCAATTCTCATCCGATTCTCTAGCGGAATACCTTAAACGATTTCTAGATCGATTCCCCACCATTCTGCATCAAAATCCTGAGACAAAATATTTTTTAGATTTTTTGTCCATTTTTCGTGATGGGATCCCTTGAAAATGGGCTTTTCCCCTATATGCCCCACGGTGATGGCTACATCTTCCCCAATTCTCATCCGATTCTCAAGCGGAATACCTTAAACGATTTCTAGATCGATTCCCCACCATTCTGCATCAAAATCCTGAGACAAAATATTTTTTAGAGTTTTTGTCCATTTTTCGTGATGGGATCCCTTGAAAATCGGCTTTTCCCCTATAGGGCCCACGGTGATGGCTATATCTTCCTCAATTCTCATCCGATTCTCAAGCGGAGTACCTTAAACGATTTCTAGACCGATTCTCCACCATTCCGCATCAAAATCCTGAGACAAAATATTTTTTAGATTTTTTGTCCATTTTTCGTGATGGGATCCCTTGAAAATGGGGTTTTCCCCTATAGGGCCCACGGTGATGGCTATATCTTCTCCATTTCTCATCCGATTCTCAAGCGGAGTACCTTAAACGATTTCTAAATCGATTTGCCACCATTCTGCACCAAAACCTTGAGACGAAATGTTTTTTCGATTTTTTGTCCATTTTTCCTGATGGGATCCCTTGAAAATGGGGTTTTCCCCTATAGGGCCCACGGTGATGGCTACATCTTCCCCAATTCTCATCCGATTCTCAAGCGGAATACCTTAAACGATTTCTAGATCGATTCCCCACCATTCTGCATCAAAATCCTGAGACAAAATATTTTTTAGATTTTTTGTCCATTTTTCGTGATGGGATCCCTTGAAAATGGGCTTTTCCCTATATGCCCCACGGTGATGGCTACATCTTCCCCAATTCTCATCCGATTCTCAAGCGGAATACCTTAAACGATTTCTAGATCGATTCCCCACCATTCTGCATCAAAATCCTGAGACAAAATATTTTTTAGAGTTTTTGTCCATTTTTCGTGATGGGATCCCTTGAAAATCGGCTTTTCCCCTATAGGGCCCACGGTGATGGCTATATCTTCCTCAATTCTCATCCGATTCTCAAGCGGAGTACCTTAAACGATTTCTAGATCGATTCTCCACCATTCTGCATCAAAATCCTGAGACAAAATATTTTTTAGATTTTTTGTCCATTTTCGTGATGGGATCCCTTCAAAATGGGGTGTTTCCCTATAGGACCCACAGTGATGGCTATATCTTCCGCAATTCTCATCCGATTCTTAAGCGGAGTACCTTAATCGATTTGTAGATCGATTCGCCACCATTCTGCATCAAAATCCTGAGACAAAATATTTTTTAGATTTTTTGTCCATTTTTCGTGATGGGATCCCTTCAAAATGGTGTTTTTCCCTATAGGACTCATAGTTATGGCTATATCTTCCCCAATTCTTATCCGATTCTGAAGCGAAGCACCTCATACCATTTATTGATCAATTCACCCCCAATCTTTGTCAAAACTTTGGAATTTGGGGCACCCAAAGTATGGTTCCTACCTTGGGTGAAATAGTAGGTAAGATGTTTCTTATAACAAAATGCGACCTTATAAATCTTTGCATGAGAGGCAACGCCATGTATTCAAATACGCTTATTGTTGTTTTTTTTCTAAATGATTTTCGTTTCATTGAACAGAAAGCCCTTACCACCGGACATGAAAGTTCAAATGCAATTGGGGAGAACGGAAAAGGGTCGCTTAAGGAAAATAAAAGAAAGCACATCAAATAAAATCAAACGCAAAACAAGCGGGAAAACATTGTTTCAAATTGACCAGTGCCAGGCAAACAAAAAAAATAAATGAATAAAATAAACAAAATGTAGAAACGAAATGTTGAAGGCATTGTCCGCCAATTCAGGCGCAACTAATTCCCACTCTGCTTCTATGCCGGGAAACACCGGACCCAAAACTATAGAAAGGATTCCTGGATTGGGGTGTTTCGTCCGGGTACTTTATTGGGCGAAAAATGATTTTTTATTTTCAATTTTCGGCTTGGCTCGAAATGGAAAGTAAAAGTATCGTGTTGGCCGAATGGCGAAACCAATTTGATTTTGAATACGTTATGAGGCGCAAAAATAAGAAGAACAGAGTGTGAAAAAATCCGGAAAGACCGTAAAAATAACACCAATATCAAATACAGAAAGAAAGCAACAATTTCCCCAAAAAAAAAAGGGTTTTCGAGTGGCAATTTT